TCCCCACCCCCAGCTCTGCCGGTGCCCCTCACTCCCGACCTGCAGCCGCCTGCTAGCCCAGCCCTGAGCTCCCCGGAAGCCCAGCCCTGGGCTTCCCACAGCTCTGCCGGTGCCCCTCACTCCCGACCCGCAGCCCCCTAGGCGTCCCTGTGAGTCACTCCCTGGCTGTCCCCTGAGGGGAGCAGGGCGACCCCTTTGCTTGCTCAGACTGTCTGGTTCCTGCTCCCAGGAGTCTTTGGGCCGCTGGATCCAGCCCCACCCCATCTCATAACCCCTCCCACTGGGTCCCATAACCATTCCCACTTAGCCCCTCCCACTGGGTCCTATAACCCCGCCCCTTGCTGCTTGGCAGGGCGGGCCTGTCTGTCTGTCCCCTGCTAACCCAGCGCCTCGGCAGGTTTCCGAGCGAGGCCGGGGCACAATGAATGGTGGTGATGAGCCCGCTGGCGGAGATCCAGGTGGGTGCCCGGTGGCCGTGCCCGTGGGCTGGCAGCGGAAGGTGGAGGAGGGCGCCGTGCGCTATATCAGGTAGGGCTTCCCCCTCAATGGTGGCACTGCAGCCCCCCCCGCCCCACCCGGGCCGGGCCCGACAGCCTGCCCTGACCCCACCCCGTCCTTTCTCAGTCCTAGTGGCACGAACCTCACCTCGCTGGAGCAGACCCGCGCCTACCTCCTGACAGACGGTACCTGCAAGTGCGGCCTGGAGTGTCCGCTCAACGTGCACAAGGTACCGGAGGGACCCAGGGCCAGGGGGCCTGGGGCCAAGGCAGGCTGGGGGCCAGGGGGCTTGGAGTCCGGGTGGGGGGCAAGGGGGCTGGGGGCCAGGGGGCCTGAGGCCAAGGCAGGCTGGGGGCCCAGGAGTCCAGGCGGGAGGGCCTGGGGGAATGATGCCCCTGGGGGTCTCACCCTCCTGCTTCCCACTGGCTGGGGGCTGCAGCCTGGGGGGACCCAACTCCAGTCCTGGGGGATTCGCCCCATGCGAAGGGGCCTGGGAGGGGCACTGCTAGGACACGCTGCCCTGGGCTCGGCTTCCTTGTCCTCCTTGGCAACTGCTGTTGGTCAGGACTGAGGGTCAGAGTGGGCAGGGGATGGGGAAGTGCCCCACCCCTAGCTCTGCCGGTGCCCCTCAGTCCCCAGGGTGCGGCTGTGACATCCTTTTCTCCCCCCGGCAGGTTTTCAACTTCAACCCGGTGGCCGTGGTGGT